ATGCTACCTTGCTCCACACATTATGACAATGGACTTAAGCCTCTGAAACTAAGCAAATCTAAATTAAATGTTTTTTCTTTTAGAAGAGTTACTGTGGTCATAGTATTTCTTCACAGCAATAGACTACTAAGATAATAACTATGACAATATTTCACAGTGTTAATCACGTGACTGACCAGTTTTCAAACACAGCACCCAGTGACTGCCATACTGAAGAGTTCACCATAGGACTGTCCTTTTATTATGTGGTCAAGAAGTATACTCTCTGATCTGAAGATCACTCAAGAGATGCTGGAAAAGATGTCTACCCTGGGAGACTATAGCATTGCAGATACACAGACATAGTCACTATTCATTCCTTTTGTCATCTTTCTTCTCCCAGTCTCCCTTTCATACAAGGAAAAAGACAGACATATGAGACAATAACATCTATCTGTGTTCCTAATGAAAGTCAAGGAGCTGTGGGTGCTGGCGCTCAGAATCCTGTTGTTCAAAAGTCATTTCCATGATAAGGCAAGGGGGTGCCTCCCTGCATCAAAGCGATGGTAGATATAACAGCATGGGCTGTGCAGCAGTCCACTTACCCACAATGCAAGAGAAACTCCCCCTTAGCTACTTCCAATGTAAAACCAAGGAAACAAAAGTTCTGGCCCCTCTTAGCCCAGAATCTGTTTGCAATCATCCTCCAGACTCCACGGCTTCTTAAAACAGACATGTAACTAGTTTCATCTGGCTTAGTGCTAAAACATACTTTACAAACTATATCTTATTCAAACAAAAAGTGGAAAATATAATGGGTTGAATAATGATTCCATTTCTCTCTTTATTTGGAAGTCGAGTCCTTACAAATGTTTGTGACCCATAAAATTAACAGAAGGCTATAGTGGATGGGAGCAGAGCACAGTCCACTTGGTGGTGTTTTTTTTTTTTTATAAAGATGGAAGTATTCAGATTCCCAGTGACACAGGAAGGAGGTCACATGCAGGTAGAGGCAGAGACTGAAGTGATGTGTCCACCAGCCAAAGAAACCAGGGCCTGTTTGCAAGCAACAGAAGTTAGAATACAAGCCTGGGACAGATTCCCTTTCAGCACTCCCAGGAGAAAGTGACCTACCAACCTAGACTTCCAACTCCTACCTCTAGAACTATGGGAGAAAAATACTATCATTTTAACTTTTCTGGGTTTTGGTTATTTGTGACAGGAAATTATGTGAAATGAATTAAGGAAGCTAATGCCTATGGCTTCCAAATGGACAAGAAGCTAAGTACCATAAAGTGAACTGTATATTCTTCCTGTCTTTTTATCTCTTCCAAATATTTTTCTTAATAACATTGAAGAGACCTGCTTTGCTCATTGGGGTTGCAGCTAAAAAAACACCATCTGAAGCAAATGAAGGGAGAAAATGGACTGAGCCAATGGATACACCTTATATCATTTAAAGGGCAGGCGGTTAGGTAAGGAAGATGGAGGGGTATGCATTGGAGCATTGATGCAGGTCAAATATTTTTAAGCATGTGACCAGACAGGGAAGCTGCTTGCTCCTAGACAGCAGCCTCCTGCACAGGAATCCTCCACTAAGCCTACACAGCATGGGAGCCTGTATTGTCTAGGAAGGTGTTTCCATATTGGGTGAGGGTGTGTGTGTGCACATTCACAGCTATACTGTGCTTGGGAATGTTACCTTATTAGATTATTTACCCTGTATGGTTCCCTTTGTTTTCCCTCTTCTAATCCATGCCTTCAAATATAGATGGGGAATGTTCTAGTTATTTGCTAGTACCTAGTACTGAACAAAAAAAAAAGAAACAAACAAGTCTACTCACGAGTCTGACAGACCCTCCAATCCTCCTTGACAGAAACAAGAAGCTAGGCTCACTCATATTCAACAAATATTGAGCATCTAGGTGTGAGAAGATCTTTTGGGTTTTTATGGATTAACTTCTTCTTTGACAAATAAAATGTATATTTATAGTGGAATGGCTAAACTGAGATAACATGTCTATTAGCTAACATGCTTATCATGTTCTTAAGAGAACATTTAACATCTATTATATCAACTTTCAAGAACACAATTATTGTTATTAATTGCAGTAGCCATGATGTCCAACAGAGCTTTATTGGTGAAATTATTAAGGCCACTCTATGTAGTTAAAAGGGAGATTTAAATGGCGTAACTTACAAATGAAGGGATAGGTAAGTGGTGGGTTCTGGTAAAGACGCAGCACAGTCCAGCAGTGTTCTCTGGAGAACTCTCCTTGGTTTACCTCTGGGGTCCAGGGTCCAAACAGGAAGACAGCGTGGTGCATCCTGATCTCGGGTCTTCAGGGCCCTCTTTTGGCTTTGCCTTGTAGTTATGATAGTTACCAAAGCCTCAATGGGGGTTGGAACTTCCAGACCAAAGCTGGAATGGCTACCCACTACAGAGCTTTTGAATCTATTCTTCTCAAATGAAATCCTGTATCCTTTGACTTCCCACCAACTCTTGGTAGCCGCTACTCTACAGTGAACTTTATGTGCTCAGTCTCTACATGAAAGTGAGAACATATAGTTACCAGTCATCTTATTCCTTGTTCATTTCCTGTGATATGATGTCAGAGAGGCTCATGCATGTTGTTAGGAATAGAATGACATTCTTTCTAAAGGTTGACATTTCTTTACGTGAACAATACTGCCTTTCTCTGCTCACCTGCTGACAGACACAGGCTGATTCCATACATTGACTACTATGTACTATGACTAGTGTTCAGTAAGCGAAGACATGTAGATGTCTTGCAGGTATCCTGACTTCATTTTTTAATTTATATATGCCCCATAGTGAAATTCTGGGTCATATACATATACATAATTTTGAGCATTTTAAGCACCATCTTTCCTGTTTTCCTTAGTGGCTTGACTAAACTTACCTCCCTACCATCAGTATGCAAGGAATCATTTTCTTCATATCTTTGCCATCATTTGTCACCTTCCTCCCTTACTATAACAGCCACATGAGTACTTTTCATATTCTGGTGTCACTGGGATAGGAAACATATACAAAAGATCTCCTTACATAAGTTCAATCCCAGTAGGACAACAGAAAACAAGCAAGGCCGATATAGTACAGGGGACAAAAGAGACAGAAGGAAGGGCAAAGGGCTGAGGAGGAGAGGGTGTGGAGGGCGGGGGTGACATTGTCCAGTGTCCACAGCAATTCACACTAAGCAAGGGATAATTTGTGTAAGTCCTAAAGGAAGAAGAGTGATTGAGACTGCCACTGCTGAACCCAGCATGTGCAAAGGACCTGAGGTCGAAGCATGGCTTTGGGAAAATATGAGGAAGAAGGTGTGGCCGTACATACAGAGCAGTGGATGTAGTAACAGAAAACTCATCATGCTGGACCTTGTAAGCCACAAAAATACTCATTTCCCACAAGTACCTGAGACCCCTAGAAGATTTGGAAGAGAGACCATATACGGCTGGGAGCCCTTTGTGAGGTCATTGATCTGAACATTGGTTTTCCTGCGTCTCAAAGGTCAAGGCTGTACCAGAGAAATAACAAAATTTCCCCCCAGCTATAAAAATTGACTCCCAGACATCTTACATAAACAACTTCTCGCAGGCAGATTGCTAACAGAGGGCATTAGCCTCTTTCCCACCCAGGCCTACCTCCTGTTTGCAGGGTCTGCAGAGGCAGCATGCATCTGTGCTGAACTATTTGTAAGGTGGGATTCTCAAAGGTGGGCAAAGGGGGGATGCAGGGAATGCTGTTATGGCAGGCAGACCCGTGGGAACACAGGCGGTCTTAAGCAAGATGACACAGTCTCCTGTGCATGGAGTGCCCTGCTTAGGAGATGGGGCACGCACATTGTAGGATGCAAGAAAGTAGCAGAAGATGAATATCTTTTTGTTCTATATTAAGTAAAAATTTAAAAATAAGCATTTTCATTTCTAATTATTTCCTATCATGCATGGTGCTCTCACTTCAATTTTCAAGTCCGTTTACTTCATTTCTGTGGAGCATCCGAGCTTGAGTAGCATCCATCCAGCAGGATTTCTGCCTAACTATGCAAATGTGTGCCTGTGTGTGCCTGTGTGTGTGTGTGTGTGTGTGTGTTCACTCCCCTCTCTTCCTTTGTTCTTTCCCACTACAAATAATACAGATATTTTAGCAAATACAGATGGCAGATGTTTCTGATTTCCTTTCTCTTTGTTTCTGTTTTTCTTTTTTAAAGTCTTTCTACTTCTCACTGAAGGAACTACAGATTCTGAGCTTCACACGGAAGAGCCATGGCTGGAACAGTTACTGCCGAATATAAGATAATGTCACATATTTACTTTTTAAAATCCTGTAAATGGTAGCCTGCATGCTCATTCTTCGTAGGTTTGTCCACAATAATTATATTACGAGTCAATTAGAACATGTGTTCAGAGTGATCCAAGGACTCAGAAAGCCTTTAGTGGGACCACATACTTAGGCTTCACAGTATGCTGAGGGCTCTAGGAAGTATGTCTGGAGTCTAAAACCATGGTGACTTTGGATTCTAGATGCTGCACAGTGGCTCCACTGCATACCATAGCCATGATGCCAGCATAGAGACGGTAACACACCGAATGCTCAGAAGACACCTGGTCCATAGGCAAGTGAAGAATGATGATGTTAACCCTTTCCCTCCCAAGGCACATTTCCAGGAAGTGCTGCCTGTTAGTGCACAGATGTGACCCACCAGCACTGTACAAAACAGGCAGTCCTGACAGAACACAGGGCAGATGACACCAAGGTCCATCCTCAGAATCAAGGGCGTAGTCCATCCAGACTGCCTAGCAAAAACTGTGTGTCAATAGGAATGCTGACAAGAGGCATGTGCATTTCCCAGCTTTCCACATTATTTCTTCATTATGTCTTGCAAGAGAGACCAGACAGCAAGATGCCAGGCCTAAGTTCTTTCTCCCCTCTTGGCCACATGGGCTTCTGTCCTCTCACTGAGGACAGGCCTGACTCCTTATAGAGGAGTCCTTCTTACCTCTGCTGCAGGGACTCCCTCTGGCGGGCGGCAATGCAACACGATCATGCCTTCAATAGGAACCTCCCTGCCTTGTGGATCTTGCTCAAAGTTTTTCCGTAAATCTGCAAAGAAGCACAAGATATATGTATGCCACTTTGAGCTAGGACTGGCATTACTCATGCGTGGCCCCAATACACTAAAACAGTGAGCTTCATGTCAAAAGTTAGATACACACAAATATGTCACCTTCTGACACTTCAGAGTATCGCTTTTCCAATACTCATAAATGCATCTGAAATATACCTTAACAAAATGGTTTCACCACTTTACATTGATAGGAAGGAAGAAAAACTACTAGAGGAAAAGAAAAAAAAACCTCATAATTTCATGAGTGTTTGCCAGCATTATCTGTTCAGCATCTGATGAAACACTTGGCCTAATAAATTAGCGTCTGCAGCCATTATGAAGTTGAGATGCACATGATTTTCTTTTTGTTCACTGAAGAATACATTATTAATCTGTAACCTCTGTCATTCGCTTAACCCTCTGGGGAGCTGTAGAAGACAGTAATAGAGTGAGATCACCTATTAGTCTTTTTATTTGTAACCAGGGAGAAAGGGCCATAGCCAGTCACAACAAAATCCATAACCTATCCAACCAGATCTATAATTAAGAAATGCAAGGCCCTCTAGTCAAGCAGCCATGCTGGGTATGTGGGTAGTGCCCTTCACACAGGGCTCCGGGCACTTTGCAAACAAGCTGCACTATTAACCTTTTACACATGGAGAGGTGACACTTGTGGAGGTTAATTGGCTTGCCAGTGGTCACAGAACGCATCAGTGCCAGGGAGAGGGGAAAATTCATTCTGCTTCCTGACACTCAGCCTGACTGCCAACCAGCTTGGCCTTCTCAGGGAAGAGGACAGTTCAGCAGGGAGAGCGCCAGCTTCATTTGCATAGCTTTCTACTCTACCATTTTCAAGGGTAGGCAGCTGGCCTTGGCTCCTAGGGAGGTGTCAGCACAGCCCTCTGATGATGTTACTGAACAAGGTAATTCTTGCTGTCACCTGGATGCACAGGACAGTCAAGCCAGGACAGGTTGTTTACAATTCTTCCTCCACAAAAAGGATTTTCTCCTCCTTCCCTGACAATGTATTTTTCTTCAAATTGAGTATCTCAAATTACAGGCTGTGGATTTATTGATTTAATTTTCTTCAGTGCTTACAATAACATGAAATATGTCCTCTGTAAAGAGCGAAGCTCCAGAATCAGTTACATCTTTATAAATTGTATAAATACATTAAACTTGCTTTTAGCAAGTCAAAAACACCCGATGAATAACTAGTGCAGCCATGCACATATCCACTTCTCTCTGAAAGCTTTTTGTCCCAGAGACGACCAGCATCTGTATATACAAAGGCTTTGTATGTCTCTGGAATGTAAAAGATCCGCCTTCTCACACTCTGCTGTCCCAAATTCAGTTCTAGAGGAAGCTTCCTTCTATCCAAGGTCTATAAATTGCCCTGGTGGTTCAGAGTTCCTGACTCTCAGTATGACGGACTCATAAAACCGCCAACAAAAGCAAAGAGCAAAGGGACTGTGTAAGCCTAGAGTTGGAAGTCTGTTTGCTACACAGTCCCACCACAAGACGTGTTTTGCTGTCACTCAAGGGAGTGCTGAGCCAAAACTCTCTTTCCAGAGGGCCTCCCTGCTCAGAATTGTATCAAAACTCATCTGCAGGAGTGAACGTGAGTTCAACAGCCAAGAGGCCAGGGTGGTAATGGGAAGAGTTGTGATGTGGGTGGCATGTTTACTGTGTTGCCTTCACTATTGCCTCCCACCTCCTTGGTCAATGCATCTGCCAAGAGGAGTCTTATCCGGTGCTAGCAAATGAGCATCTGAGTTTTGCTACCATTGATTTTTCTGTGTTTAACCAAGTAAAACACAAAAGTATAACACTAGGAATTTTGATACATTCTTCTGCTTCTGCTTCTTGTCTTTACTCAGTACTAGTGAAAATGATAATTGTGGGGTTTGAATAGGAATGCCCCCCCATAAAAGAATGTGTTTGAAGGTTTGGCCCATAGGGAGTGGCACTATTATTATTATTATTTAGGAGGTGTGGCCTTGTTCAAGGAAGTGTGTTACTGTAGGGGCAGGCTTTGAAGTCTCTGGTGTAGCTTGAGCAGAGACCTCAAAGCCTGCCCCTACAATGACAAGCTAAACCCAGTGTGGCTCACAGTCTCTTTCTGCTGCCTGCAGATCAAGATATAGAATTCTCAGCTCCTTTTCCAGTACCATGTCTGCCTGCACACTGCCATAATGATAATGGTCTAAACCTCTGAAACTGTAAGTCAGCCCCATTAATATGTTTTCCTTTATAAGAGTTGCATGGTCATGGTGTCTCTTCATGGCCATAAAATCCTATCCACGAGAGTGATAAATGGTTATCCTTACTTTATACTAACTACATCAACAGGCAGAAAGACAACCTCAATGAAGTCAGTTTTCCTCCAAAGGAGTAACCTGTATTGACACTGGAATTACTTTATTTCATACAAACAAGGTATTTGGGGGTATCTCTAGCAGATTTCATATGGAAGAATCAGATCCAAGTGAGGACCAAGCTATCCTGTCCCCATCCCACTAACACTTGGAATCACTTGAAGAGTCTGACAGGAAGTGCATCATCACCTTCCAAGGTGTATGTAGAAAAACTAAAGACAGAGGAACATGGGGCAAGGGCAGAAAAAGTCTATAAGGATGAATCCATCAGTACTTCAGGAGCCAGATATCACTTCAAGTAAGAAAACCCTTGACAGAGTTCTGATCCAATCCCAAGTCTGGTGCTGACCTGTCCTCCTAAGGAGGTTGTATCTGGGAATCTTTAAAAAAGGGGTCCAAATATAAAATTATAGTTAGTCCTTGAACATATTCCAAATTATAGAAATAAACTCTTCGATACAGCAGCCAATGTCTCCTGTTCCATCTATGACCCTCACCCCAGGCCATGCAAACTCATTAGTTTCTGAATAGGCAGTCTAAGCAACAGCCATTTTTCTAGATCCAGAAAGATACATACATGTACCTACACAAGTTCTAATAATGGGAAACTTATCTCCAGACACACAAAATGAATTTCTGCACAACATAAGGGAACTATAGAACTGAAAGTAATATCTTCCTGTGATAGGACCAGAAGCAAGATTCATCATTGAGAATTTCTAATTCAAGTTCTGTGACATCAAAAGGAAACAATAACCAAGAAGCTAAAATAGGGCCTTATGGATCCATTAACATTTGAGATCAAGCAGTTGTGTTCAAATCTGAGCATGACACTATGAACACCTTCATCCAATAAATATCTTGAATTCTCTTGCCCTTAGTCTCTGCACCTCTAATAGGATAATAATTCCTAATACATATAGCTTTTTATTTTTAAAGTCAGGGTCCAGCTATGTAGCTCTGGTTGGCCTGGCATTCTCTATGTGGAACAGGATAAACTTGAACTCACAGAGACCCAGCTGCCTCTGCCTCCTAAATTCTGAGACTAAAGGCATTTGCAACTATACCTGGCAATATTCAGCTTTTATAAAGATTAAATATTAATACATAAAAACTTTCCAAGCAAAATGGCTATGTAACAGGGTTAAGGTCTTATATATTACTACACCCTGTGATAAAGCTATGATGATTAATATGGGATGATTTTTATCATAAATCAGATACAAATTAATTACAAAGTGAAGCATTTTTCAGAGGCACTAAAATAAAAAGTATAATTTAGTAGATGATAAATTAAGTGGGAAAAGGTATTAAAATGAGTCATTGCCTTTCTGAAGAAAAAAATGTAGATCTGTGTCTTGCTTTATACTAAAATAAATGCCACAGTAATAAAAACATTTTAACAGAAAACCACAGCAGTAATAAAATATCTAGAGAACCTTAAGAAAAGGGGAATTTCTTCTAACTTGAACAAGCCATTAAGAAAATGATTGATAGGCATCATTTAGTTAAAAATGAAATTATTTTCCTTAAAACATTGCAAACAAAAGACTGTGCAGATAATGGCTTTAATATGTTAAAATGTCTTATGAAATACAATGAAAATTATAGATACTCTGAGATAAAATGACAAAGGGGTTGAAAACCATTTACAAAGAAAAAGACAGAAATGGCCAAAGATAAGTAATGGGGCAGTATCAATAGTTATTACAGAAACGCTAGCTTAGCAACTACCAACACATCTCTTTTCCTCCTCTAAGTGAGCCAGTTTTATTTATCTCTTTATTTTAATTCCTGTGTTGTAAATTAAGTCAGGCTGGGATAGTCTTGAATATCACTAGAAGAAAAGACCAGGTGTATATGAAAAAACAAGTTATATATAGATTAAACTATTTTGAAGGTCCAATTATATGGAAACTATTTGACAAATAGATATACATTATGTGGTCTATCATGGAATATTATTTGGCAATAAAAACAAAATACTAATGCATGCTGTGACGTGGCTAAAATTTAAATGCATAATTTATATTAATTGAACATACATAGCCATTCACCAAAGGCTACATATTATATGGTTCCACTTATCTGAAACATCTGCAGTGGGTGGTAATGACAAATAGTGAGTAAATAGGTTAGGAGTCAGCTGGGGCTGCAGTTGAGTGAGGGAAGAAGACTAATAATGACCTTTTCAATAATATAAAATAAAAACCCTAAAATGGCCCTGGATGACAGTTATAGACCTGCGACTGTATTCACAACTATTGATTTCTATATTTAAGAGAATCACATGTTCTATGGTATTTCAGTAACACTATAATTTTTAAAGTTTCACCGACACAACTCTATAATTCTACAAGTACAGCTAAGAAAATGATTAGAGAACTATGTGGGAAAAAATGTAAGTAGGCTGATAGTGCCTCAAACCTTTGCCGAATCATAGGAAGAAAGCTGAACATTTAATAATGTGGGAATAGTTAGTATCATTTAGTGCATTCACACAATGGAATACTATGCAGAAATGAAAAACTAGAAGATTGTGGTATTTAAGATTTAAAATTATAGATAATGAAATGCTAAACAAGATAATATAGTGTGATCAATCTCAATCATATGCA